AAAAAAAAAAAAAAAAAAAATGTATTACATATAGCCGTTTTGTTCGTGTGAGTACCTTTATATGCATTTTTCCCCCTCTCGATTTTGTGCGTGTATAAAAATCCTCTCGATATTTGTCAAAGCAATTGAATATATAATCGATATTTTTCGTGTTGTCCCGTGTTATACAATAATTCCGCTATTACGAGAAAGCATGAGTGTACCACCAGCCTTGTCTCAAATATTTGTCTGTTAATTATTTTTGTGATTGCATTCGACCCTTTTTAAATACCGTATTTTGCCAGTGCCACAGTTGGATACGTATATACAGGATGTCCCGTAATTGCCATCTCACCGCTTTTAGGCAGGTAGAAGGGGTTATTCTAAGACGAAAAGTTCTATACCACTTTGGAAGATTCGCAATAATTAATGAGATATTAATTAATAAAGATTCGCTAATCAGCGTGCGTCCAGCGTAAGGACAGCCCAGTCTATCGCACCGTAGCGACGGAATGGGAAGAGTTAATAGAATAACATGTACATACATAGACAGCATATAGACTGCGTTTCGGGCAGCGCGTTATTGTATTCCGTCACTACGGCGCGACAGATTGGGCTGTTACGCTGGATGCATGCTGATTAGCGGATCTTTATTAATTAATATCTCGTCAATTATTACGAATCTTCCAAAGTGGTATAGGACTTTTCGTCTTAGAATAATCCCTTCTACCTGCCTATGAGCGGTGAGACAGCAATTACGGAACACCCTGTATATATATATTATACAATTAATTTGTGATTGTGTACACATATTACGATGAATATTTTATCCCATTGTTTGTAATTTTTTTGCTGTTGTGCTGAAGTTTCCGACGAAAACGGGAGAAAATTTTCTCGAACGAGGTTTAAATAAGACGTTACCAAGTGCTAGTTTTGGTACTTGACGCGAATATATCGCACGCGGTTAATTTTCCAAAGTTTTTCTCAAGCTCGCGGGAATCGCGTATCGAAACGATTAAAACTAAACAAACGAGATTTGCAAAACGTTTGTCGATATCTTTGAGAGCTATTTTGAATTCTCAACGTGATATCTCTCACGTTGGCAACAAGCACGTTATTACACGAAACGACAGTACCGCCGTGATGTTTTTGTTCATATCACATTATCGTAGCTTTGTGACGCTTCAAGCTCGCTGGCTTCTTAACGTTGAAGACGCTTTGAAAATACTTGGCCCGAGGCACCTCGCTTCTGACGTCACGCACCGCTAGAGAACAAAAAAATTGGAAAATTAAAAATTCATTACATTTTATGGCGAAAACGACACACACGCGCGCGCGCACACACACACAGGCTACGATATGCGTTTCGTGTGTGTTTGAGCCTCTTTATATTTTCGCGCAAAATATGTTCGATAACTTTGCAATATTAATAATCTTTAAGGAAAAAGAGAGAGAGAGAGAGAGAGAGAGAGAGAGAGAGAGAGAGAGAGAAAGACGACAAGCACAACTCAATGAAAAGATCGAAAGCCTCGACACATTTTGGAAGTTACTGCTATCAATATTGTAAGAAGTTCTCGACAAATAGCCGCGAGTGAGGGTAGAAGAATTCGTAACTTCTCGTCAAGAACGTCGCGCGCGCGCACACACATTCAGGAGGACGAGAAGACGCTCGCGCTAAATATTCGCCGAAATATTTTATATTTACGCGATCTCTCGGCGTCTTTCAACATTTTCCCCCTTATTTTCGGGAACGTGTGATTCACATCATCGCGTCAATTTTTCGAAGATTTTAAGATTCAAAAATTCTCTCGAACGCCGCGTTGTTGTTGCGGTAAAAGATAAATGAAATAACTGCGGCGCGCAGACGGAGCAAAATCCGCGATTTAATCGCGAATGTCGGATTGTATAATATTAATTTCCATAATTATTACCGTACGCTCTTATTCTCATTCTCTGAAATCTTTGTAATTACATTTCCACTATATACGAGCGGGGAATATTGTATTTCGATCAAATAACGTTCGCAAATAAATTTCGCGCGATTGATATTATTAATCTTCGTAATTATATCACGCGCACGCGGAGTTGTTTCTGTCGTTTTTTCTCCATTTTCCACCGCGTATGTGTAGTCTCTCTTTCTCTCTCTCTCTCTCTCTTTCTCTCTCTCTCTGAAATTTAATACTAAATTTTCCGCGCCACTAAAAACTCGACGACGTATATCGAGCGCAGACGGAAGGGAGGAGCGCGTTGATTCGCGCGGAGCGAGTGACATACGAACCGCGAATAAAGTTTATACTCGGGCGGCGTGTATTCGAGCGCGGTTCTCAGCAATCGGACCGCTCGGGCAAATAACGCGAGTCTGTCGTTTCACACGTGGCGTGCCCCCGTTTTTTTTTTCTGTTTTTTTTTTTTTTTGTTTTTTATTTTTCTCCGCTCCGAGCGTGTGTCACACGTGGCCACTTGTGTGCATTTCTCTCTCATCCTCTTTTCCTCCACCTCCACCCTCACCTGCGCCCGGCATTACCTCATTTCGCATTATCGTATTCTCTTGTAGCACTGTAGAGTAGAACATTTGGTTCACTTTGGTAGCGTATTGACCGGGGAAAAATCGCCGGGACAAATCGCCGGGACAATCTCGTATTAACGATCTCGGCGTGTGCCGCTCTTCGTTCTTTCAGCAGTCGACCGGTCAGATTTGGCCTCGCTCTGCCCTGCACGCTCGAGAACAAGGAGAACGCGAGGCCGTACGTCATCAGGGAGGACGCGGACGGCGATTCCGGCGACGGACAGGTCCTCTACAGGGACGACTACGACGACGAGAAAAGTGAGTCTCGCTTTTTTGTTTTTTTTTTTTTTTTTTCCATCAATTTTTCACTTCTTCCTTCCTCCTGGGGTTTATATATATATATATAAAAAAAAAAAAAAAGTTCTTTTCGCGCGCGACGATTCTTTAATTCAATTGTGTATCGATTAAACGACGCGCTGACGCACGTGAATACCGCAAATTATTTATCACTCCGAAATGCAAACACTGAGATTATTATTTAGCAAGCTTGATTAATTGACATCGATATTAATCGCTTCCTCTTTTTCATCGTCAGTTATTACCAAATAGTCTGACGCAGATTGCATGAAAAACACACGTGAAAACCAAGATATAATAGGTGTGTAATAGGTGCAGCGTTACACAAAGCACGTCACGCGTATGCACATTGTGTTGCGTACAGTTTCACGTGTCGCGAGATAATAGAATGATATTTTTTTTTTTGCAACTCGACACTTTCGAGCGCGTACCCGCTCTCTCTCTCTCTCTCTTTCTCTCGAACGATCAATTAGACGAATACAGTAACTTCATTTTGAGTTTTTTTTCGACGCGCAGTCGACATCGTTGTATTACGTGTCTTCAATCAAAGAGAGAGAGAGAGAGAGAGAGAGAAAGATTTATCAATAAAATCCTTTCAGGAAAAATGAATACGTCGCACGACGAGTTTGCGGGGAAAAGCGCGCTTCGAAAATTCTACCATACGTTTTAACTCTTTGAGAACGGACGTTGATATTCCGGGAAAATTTTTGCGATGTCGAAGAAATGTTTATCCGTCCTCAAAAGGGAGTTAAATCGTGTGCGCTCGCACATACACACGCGCGCGAGAGAGAAAGAGAGAGAGAAATAAAAGTGTACATTGATGGATACCGCCTTTTGGTGCGCAAAAGACGTGTTAGGATCATGTTTATTTCACGGGGTTGCCGCGATTTGCCACCGAAATATGAAGTTTTAAACTCCCGTGCGGTTCGAAACGCGAACGGACTTTCGAGCGAATTTCGCAAACAGACTTTCCACCAAGCTTCGTCGTGTGCCCGCGCGACGACGTTCGCGTGTGATGTGTGCGCGCAAGCACACATCGTTCCTTTTTCTTTCTTTCTCGGAAGAATTTGCTCTAAATCTCAAAAATGCGGAAGAAAGGTTGAGTCAGCGCGAATACCGAAAAACTTCACGGAATAAAAAAAAAAAAAAAAAAAAAAAAAAAAAAAAAAAAAAAAAAAAAAAAAAAAAAAGAAAAGAAAAAGACGCGGAGAAAAGTCAAGCAGACACGAACGTTTGCGAAGATTGAGGAAATTAAAAAGCGGAAACTTCGACATGCCGGCGCCAAATCGATTTAAAACATTCTTTTCGCATCAGAACTCCGGATTTATGTTTTTGTTTTATTATTTACGATTATTTATTATTAGATTTGTTTCGACACACCAACGCGAGAGCGCACGAATATTACAAAAACAATCAATCGAAATTAAATTAACTATATATAAAAAACATTTTAATGTGATGTAAAGTGCAACATTCATAAATTGATGGCGCTAACATTTTATTAAACTTTTTATATAAATCACACTATATTATTTTTATTATTTTTATACACTTATTTATGTTTTTCTACGTTCTTCGATTCAATTGTAATTATCATTAATTGTTTTGGTTGTAAGTTGATAGGGTTTTGAGTCAGAGAGCACACGATGGTTGCTGCCTCGCTGTTTGAGTTTTCACTGGCGCCCTTCTTTTAGTTTAAAACGTACTAATATTATGCTTTTGTATTTAGTGTAAACTGCGTTGCGCTCAAAGCTATTATTATTATTATTAGGTATATATTAAATAGTATATATTAGTATATATACATTAATAAATATTAGTTATTATTACAATATATTTACACAAATAGATATTAACTGAATTAGATATTGAATTAATTTATTTAAGAAACATAAATTTTATTTACATTATTGACAAACATATAAATCTATTTACATTAATTGAACTAGATATTAAATTAACTCAATTTATTTAAAAAAAACAAATTTTATTTACACCTTAATTACATAATTAACTAAAAAATAAAAAAAAAGCTTTAAATTACATTTAAGACTGAAATCTGTCTTATATAATTAATTTGCAATTTTTTTTAATAAGTGCGCTGCAGCACGTAGCGGTCTGAGAAAAATAACATTTGATAAACGCGCGTGTGTTTTTTAAAGCGCAATTAAAGTCTGAATGCTTTATTTGTGTGCGCATGTATGTGTGTGTACACTCTTTTGAAGCAAGTTCTTCGCAAAAGAGAGGGAAGAAATTCGTACGATCGCGTGTGTACGCGCGCGCGCGGGGAGAGAAAGAAAATATAATCTCTTAAACGAGCGCGCGCGATTAAAGCGCCGCTACATATAACCCGCTCGCGGATTTAACGCTTTGCGGGAATTATTAGCGTTGATTTTCCCAACGAGAGAAACATATCGCGCCGAGCGCGCGATTACCCAACACACTTTAAATCAACCTTCAGCCACCGAACTAATTATACTCGCATCGGGTGTACGCGGGTGTACGTGTGTGTATCAGCGCGGACACTTAGGAGGTTTATATTAATCCCCGAAGATAGCTGGCAACAGTCAGCTCAGTGTGTTCCCGGTTCTTCGTCCGTTCTTTCCGTCCGCGGATTTGTCGCGCTTGCTCGCGCTTGTTCCTTCGCTCTTTCTCGCTAAAAATCGCTAATAAAACGATCGCGCGAGCGGATAATCCTAAAGTTTATATCTTCTCGAAGTCGTTAAATTCTTCGTAACGTCAGCTTGAAACTCATCATTTTCTCGAGAAAGTGTGTGTGTGTGTGTGTGTGTGTACGCGCGTGCGCGCGCGCGCGCGCGATTGGATATCGCGAGCTATTTCGAATTTCAAGCTCGGCGGTAATTGATTTCGACGATAAGTGTCTTTCGTGATTTTTTACAACGCGAAATGTTCGTTGCAAAAATCAACGGCAATTAATACGTCGAATCGTTCGTGAGATCTCGTCGCGCTTCGACTCGTCAAATTTCGAACGCGCTTCCGCGAGTGATTTCGTGTTTCCAGTAGAAATAGCGATGTCACGATGCTGTCGATATGGACCGCGTCCACGGTGTCGATCGCCCGCGCCTGGATCGAGCCGGTCGAAAACGACGTCGCACCGATGTTACACCGCAGCTTCAGTTGCTCGTCGATCGTGGAGGGTGATTAATAATTGTAACGCGCAAATTCACAGACGCGCATAATCAATTGAAACTCTGCTTCAACAACTCGCGATTAGACGCGTTTCCGTGCTTCAATTCATTCAAAAATTAATTTCTATTCTAGTGCGCGTTTGAGCGTTTGATCATTTCAATTTATTTGGCGAAAAAAAATTTTATCTCAATTTGTTCTTTGAAGTTACATCGTCGCCGCGCGGCTAACCATCCGCATATAATAATAATAATAATAGCGATAAAAAAAATAGCGAATTAAAATGAGCTAAATGTAGAACTCGTCTCGTTCTCTCTATTCGACAGGCCGTTTGGCAGCCAAGATCGCGCGCAAGGAATCGCTTTCGCTGAAACTCGCCCTCAGGCCGGATAGACAGGAACTCATCAACAGGAACATCCTTCAGCTGCAGACAGACAATGAGAGACAGGAGACGAAAGAGGCCATTGGTGCCAAGCTCATCAGGTGAGAGAATTGTCGGGTCTATATAATCGCGTCTATATAATCGCATATAACCCGCGCGCGAATAAAGGGAGAGATTCCTCGCGCGAATATATGCGCATTCATCTTTCATTTTCCAATACACAGAAAGGGGGTGGGGGGATTTCAAAAGAGCTTCTCCAGATTAAATACGTCACAATGTGATTTCAATGTGTTTTATAATTCAAAGTCACGCGTTTGAAAATTTATATGAAATTTTGACAGTTATTTATCGTTTGTTCAATTTTAAACGTCACAAAATTGATCGATTATGTTAAAATTATGACAATTGTTGACGAAATATTGTGGATTTAAGTTTGTTTTAAATTTTTAACTGAAAAACGCGAGTTCAACAATTAATCGATGATATCGAAGAAAAAAAGGAGGAGACTTTGTTCTTTTTTTTTTTTTTTTTGCAATTCAACGGCTTTTTTTTTTTATCCTTGTCGGAAAAACAATTTGTCGTAAAAGTCCGCGCTTCGCCACTGGCGGACGTCGGATTGCGAACTGTAATTTCTAGTTCTTTCCTTTTTTATTGACGTTAATCCGTCACGACTAATCAAGCTCGCACGAAAACGAGCTCAGAATAAAACCAGCCGCGTCTCTCGGAAAGATTATCCACACGGATAGTGGAACGAGCGATCCCAGCGGCGGTTAATCGCGCTTGCTTAGCACAAAGTGGTAGATGTTTCGCGCGTGCCTACCCTCGTAGATTTTTTTTTTTTTTTTTTTTTTTGGTTTTTATCCATTTTCACGAAAAGAGATTAAGGTCGACCAACCTAATCTTTACTGATTTGCGTACTCTGTTCTCGCTTAAATTACAGGCGGCTGAGCATGCGACCGACTCAGGAGGAGCTTGAAGAGAGGAACATTTTGAAAAGTGAGTTTATCGGCTTTTCGTATTCTCCTTTGTCGCAAATAAAACAATCAAAGATTCCGCGAAAAAAAATAAATAAATTGATAATCGCGTTGCGCGTCTTAACCCTCCGTCGGCGGACGCCTTTATATGAGAGTCTTTAAGACCCATGCGATGATTCTGTGAAACTTTATTATGAGTCACAAGTGACCCGGCTCGTCCGCTATCACACAGTCCGCCTTCCGAGGATTAAGAGTAAAAAATCCGACTGTTTAGTTTCTCCCTTGAAAACTCGAATATTATTCCACCGTTAAAACGGACTATTACATATATATATATATATATATATATATATATATATAAGATATTCTTTATCTATATAAGATATTCTTTATATATATATATATATGTATATATATTTCTTTTTCCGATAACTTGAATTAAATGCGCGCGCGCGCGTTTCGCTTAAAATCGAGCGAGCGTCGTACTTAAAGCGGCCACAATGCCTCCCTTTCAGAACAAACCCCCGCCGAGGAGAAGAAGCAAAAGGAGGAGAAGAAACGCTACCTTCTGCGGAAGTTGAGTTTCCGACCGACCGTGGAGGAGCTCAAGGAGAAAAAGGTGATTTCTTTTTTCTTTTTTTCTAACGAAAAAAAAAAAAAAAAAAAAACGTTCCTAAAGCAAGTTCGTAAGTTTTCGTCGATTTTTTCGCGCTACATTGTCTCGGTCGTAATTTTTTAACGTACACATCAAGATTAACCGAGATACAAGAAGAGAGAGATTTTTTTGGACTACAGTCGATATTTTATCGCGTCTCGTTTTACCCGAGGGCGCTACTATTTTCTAGATAGAGGCTTAAACCGCTTATGCGCGATAAAGCTCTTACACGAGATCGAAAAGCGATCCTCCAACGATCCTCTTCTTCTTTTTCCCGCAGATTATCAGGTTCAACGACTATATCGAGGTAACGCAGGCTCACGATTACGACAGAAGAGCCGACAAGCCCTGGACGCGGTTAACTCCGAAAGACAAGGCCGCTATTAGGAAGGAGCTGAACGAGTTCAAGAGTTCGGAGATGGCCGTTCACGAGGACAGCCGACACCTCACTAGGTACACTTGACGTTTTACGAAATATTCGTTAAGCTTTTAATAGAGTCGCTCTTTAAAGAGGAAGTTCGAATCAGAATCATTTTTTCCTCTCGAGTGCTTCGTATGTGTTTTTTTTTTTTTTTTTTTTTTTTTTATAAAACTCGTAGCATCCGAAGAAAAAAACCGTGTTAGAATCTTTGCGTTGGGGTTTCGCAAATTGTCGGAAGTGCATAGAAATATCGCAACGCGCAAAAAACACACACGGCTTAAATCGATCGCATTTTCGATCGCATTTTCGATACGAAGGAGAGCGCTTCGATTTTTTTTTTTTTTTTTGCGACACCGAACGCAGTTAATTAATAATTCTCTTAAAATCGTTCAACGTCTCGATTAACGTCTTGTACTTGGTTCTTTTTCTTCATTGCAGGTTCCATAGGCCATGACAATTGCAATGTGTTGAGGTGCTACAGTGTGGTGCGGGTATAGGTGAAGGTGCAGTGTGGTGGCCTCGCGTTGAGGCTGGTTGAAAAAAAAAAATAAAGAATTGCGGGTATCGTTGCTTCCGGATTAAACAAGGACAAGAGTGCGCGATACTCGTTCGATCGGTGACGGTGAAATTTCTTTGACGTTGTCACGTCGTGTCGTCACTCGTCGTTGTGCTCGCCGAGCACATCCGGCGTTCGCTTCCGTCATCGTCATTCACACACACACACACACACACACATACGCGCGCAAACACACACACACACACGCACGCAGACATACATACACATACACGCACACGCACAAACATCAGCGACGAGCGCCACCACGACGTCAACGAAGATTGTGATAGGGCGATTCGCCGCCCCCCCTGCCCGAAGAGGACCTGGCGGATCGCTCGCCGATTTCTTTTCTTAAGGGTCGTTCACACCCGTGCTTAATCGAACGGTTCTCTTTGCACTTTTTCCGATACCCACCTGACTTTACCCTCCTCATTCTCTTGTATTTTTCAAACATCGACGAATGATCTCGTTGTAGCGCACGCGTCGAAGCGTTTATAAATTCTCTTCAAGGTAATTCTATCGAGATATAATTCTTGCAAATCTCCGCGCGCGGCGAGGATTCTTAACACAAAAATAAATTTATATCCACGCGCGCGCGAGAGAGAGAGTGTCTTCTTCCGCATTTTAAGCATCGTTGAGAAAAAAAATAAAAAAAAAATAAAAAGCTTGATAGTGACGATTTATCCTCGGATCTGCTCTCGAAAAAAAAGCTTGCCGTTGTGAAAATCAAAACCGCTGTACAGTAGGAAAAAAAAAAAAGTAAACTTTTTTATAGAAACGTAGTGTGTTTGTGCTGAATGAGAAGAAATTCAGCGTTTTTAAGAGTATAAGAAGAGGGCGGTAATTTCTAATTACGCGTATTCATATCTCACACGTACTATTCTCTCATACTTCTTCGACGTTTCATGTTGCGAATTTTATAGATCGTTCCTTCGTTTTTATCGCATTGTGTATTGTATTTGGAAAATTGCGCGGAGACGTGTGTGAGAAGAGCGATTGCGAAATTTAATATCACAAACAACGGTCTCGTGCGCGCGGAACACGCACGCATATATGTTCGCGATGCGTGGAACAAAAAAAAAAAAAAAACCATGCGAATCGCGATCGTCTTCACTTATACACGTTCAAGCGAAATTCCTTGGCGAGTGATTCCTTGCGAGCGCGCGTGTGAACACACCCTTAAAAACCATCATTTTTTGCAATCAAGCTAGCTCATCAGTGTCACCTGGCATCATTGTATACGTAAAAAAAAAAACGTTTTCTCAGAGAGCCATCGTATATTAAAAACAAAAACAAAAAATAAAATAAAACAAAACAAAACACAAAAACAAACGCGGATATGTGATATTATCATGTCGAATATCACGCGAAAAGCACACTCGAACCTTTCCGGAATATAATGTACGAATATTCGTAGAAAGGAGGAGAGGGATCGAGAGAGAGAGAAAGAGAGAGAGAGAGAGAGAGAGAGAGAAAGGATGAGAGGATGAGATATACATCACATATTTACAATATTGAGATACAAATCGCGAATAAAACGTCGATGTGAAAAAAGTGAGTTGGATTTTAGTTTTAAAAAATGTTTTTAGCGTTAATTCTATTTTTATACGTTTGACGAGACGCGAAGCATACATATGGAATTTCCGCAAACAAAAAACAAAACAAAAAGAAAAATCATTTCTCGACACACACCCACATATGTAATGTAACCCTCGTTTTTAACGATTAAGCTGTGTTCGGCTCCGATGTCCGAAGATTGTGATGTTTACGATAATTCCATGTTGACGATTTTTAGCGCGGCACGTGCAAGAGATATAATATTTATTGTTCGTAACTCTCAACACTCTGACACACAATCGCGTGCATATATATATACATATATATGTATACATATATAGTTCTTTAAGTCCGCTCGTAATATATATATATATGTATCACGCAGGAAAAAACTAAAAACAAAGAGTTAATATATCTGTTAATCGATGTTCACGCAACAACAATCGGTCGGAATCCTACTTTGACGATGGCAAGTGTTTTTTCTTTCTCTACTGCCAGGTATCACTCTCTCGTGGAGCTGTCTTGAGGAGCAAGCGCTTACGATTGTATTAAACTTAAACAAAGAAAGAAGGGGAAACAAACAAAAAAAAAAAAAAAAGAAAAAAGAAGAAATTAAAATGTGTAAAACTTTTTGCGAGAAAGTCAGAGATGCGTTGTGCAATTAAACTTTGTACAAAAGAAAAAAACTTATACATAGTGTGTATGTTAGTGATTATTATGATTATTATTGTTATCAATATCGCTATAGGAAAAAAAAAACGCTCTGTGGTTCTCTCGTTTCGAGAAAGAAAATTTCAATCGAGCGCGCGCGCGCCTCAATCGCAGCAATGTTAAAAGTAAAATTTATTTAAGAGCGGACGTTAATTGTCGGCCGTGCGTTTCTCCGGTCAGGTCTTGCGAGAGAGATCGAATGTTATATATCTCGCAAGAAACATTTTACGAACAAAGTCTCACTGACAAAACATTTTCATCAAATGCGCGATATATATTTTGGAACAAAAAAAAAAAAAAACGACAAAACCGTTCACTACCAACTTCTTCGTAAGTTGACTCGATAATAAAGATGCGATGTCACGTTACAATCTAGAAGAGTTTATTATCGGATTCATTTGGTATATTCGCTCCGGAAGCTCCCGGGGGAACGCGATCGATAATTATTCTGCTCTTACAAAAGCAATGTTTTGGTGGATCGACAATGAATCATTAGTCTTAAGTTATATAGGTGTCTGTACCAAAAGACGAGGACAAAAAAAAAAAAAAAGAAAAGAATCGAAACACCACACTCGGTGTTGATTAGCGTCGACGATCGACTTTTCAATGTAATCTAAACTCGTTTTTCTTTCTCATCAGAAGCTAGAGATTAAAAGAAATGTGGGGGCGATTCGTGCAAAAATCACCGCGATACGTGCAGCAGCAGCAAATTCGTATATTTAGAGATTTGTAGTTTGATCGAGATGACGAAATCTAAAAAAAAAGAAAAACCCAAAAAAAAAAAAAAAAAAAAAACGACGGAAGAGAGGAGAATAGAAAAAAGCCGAACAGACGTGAGGACACGCGCCTCGATGCGCGATGTCCTGTGTATATTTATCTCTGAAATCTTGTGCATCCACCTCCTCCTCCTCCGTCCCTCGCGCTTATCCTTTTCAAATTATGCGACACCAATCTCCACCCCCCCTCCCCCCACCCCCCAGCATCATTGTTCGTAACTTCGTCATCGATCGTAGTTTTGCCACCACCTTTTTTTTTCGGAATGAAACACGGAACGACACCCCAATCACGTAAAGAGATTGCGAGCCACGATTTTTGCGTGTAAGAGACGCTTTTTGCGTAACCGAGCTTTTCGCGCGCCGCGCAAAAGTCCGCAGCAACTACGGTTAGTAGTAAAGGGAAGGTCGCGTGATCGAGAGTTTTTAAACTTTCCTCTCCTCGTGTAGAAAATCCTAGTTTTTAACGATCGTCCAATGGGGTGAGAGGATCGGTGTGTAACGTGTCGATCTTTCTCTAAACCCGTCGGTGAACTCAGCTGTTCGATATTAATTCGTCAACTTCGAGGTCGTCGAAGGTAAAAAAAAAAAAAAAAAAAAGGACAAAACCTTCGGGAAATACCGCGAAGAAGCACGTCATAAGAAAAAATGTCATAAAATAATTGAGCAGGGAGATTAAAGTGTCTCTCTCGTTCCATTGGTCGAGCGCTGTGGCTACCATGTAGTCGAACAAATATATCCATTTCCGGATTGGACGAATGTGGGCGTGTTACGACGAGTGTGTGTGTGTGTGCGTATGAATATATAAAGAAAGAAAGAGAGATTGCGAACAAATATTTTAGGAAGAGAGTGGTCGAAATTTGAATGGAACATCTCTGTTGACTGAGCCTGTGTCCCGTAGCTACATTCGAGAACGAATCCCTTACGTCAGTTTTGCATAAAGTTTGACAGCAAACTCCCGCTAGTCGCAGATACTAGTTTAGCTCGAAGGAATGGCAGCTATTTCATTGTCGAAACGTCAGTAGTAAATAATAATAATAATAATAATAATAAAAAAAAAAAAAAAAGAAAAACAAGACTACTGTGATTTTACTTTATTTCTCAAATGTTACGTCATTAATAATTTGAGATTCAATTCCAAATGTATTTTGTGAGAAAACAGCGCGATTGTGTGCACGTATATAAGAAAACGCTCTTTAAATTCAAATTTTATTTCCGATTTGAAATTTATATTTATTTTTAATAAATTTATCAAATTGCCGAAACGCGTTTCGATAGAAAATAAAAAAAAATAGTTACAATCAACGCGGCGGTAGCTTCTGTCAGTTTTTTTTTTTTTTTTTTTTATTCCGCATAGAATTTTTCGCTGCTATTAAATATCGAAAACTGTGTATCGTGTCGTGATATTTTTAAATACTACTCTCGCAACTTTACAAATAAGTAATCACATATTATTCGCAATTATTATTCTCACGTAAATAACGATAAAATAATTATTCGCAACATAAGGATTTAGTAACCAGACTTAGATAATTTTAATATTTTATTGTGTGTGTCGGGATGAGAGAGAGAGAGAGAGAAAGAAAGAAAGAGAGAGAGAGAGAAAGAAATGATATTTATTACGTTCGAATCAAATATGAATGACTACTACTGTTAAATAAATTTTACCGTTATTCTTACATATAAATATAAATGTGATGTTCTGGAATGTAGCTTTTGTATCTTCGTATCTGTTCGAAGCGTCCACTCTCTGAGCGTGGAACAAAGGGAAAAACAAAACCACTAGAAATATGATGCGCGAAAACAACGCGTCGAATAATGAATGATTTTTGTGTACATATTAATAATAATAAACAAATATATATATATACATATACATATATATATATATATATCTGCGCGAGTGCATATTGTAATGTAAAACACACCGTGATAGGAGAGCCCGCTGCTACATGCTACACACAATATTATCGCATTGTGCAAAACAGTGAAATATTTATAAAAATACACACAAAATTTTTAGATAAACAGCGCGCTCTGATGCAAAGCAAAAAATACACACTATATATAAATATATAAATATTATACATATATAAATATATACATAGATATATATATATATATATACGAGGCGTACAAGCAGTATGTGCATTTTCCAGCACAGATATATATAGTTGGTATTTTGTGTACAAAACTGAACAAAACAAAAAAACAATATTGTTGGACATTCTCTTTGGAGACGCGCCCGAGCCGCGCGCGCATCTCACACGACGAGGTTTTGGCGAAAAGGAAAAGAGAAATTTTTGCACACACACGTTCGGGGGACGAGCGATCCTCGTTGCAAATCGCATTTGTCGAACGATCGAACAGCGACAAGACGATCGGGCCGATCGACGACGCGGAACGGAACGGAACGGACGCGCGTCACGTACCATCGACCCCGTAGTTATGTACCGCATATATTTCGCCTCATCTGTATGTAATGATATTATCGTCCGAGTTTAGATCGCATTCTCTCTCTCTCTCTCTCTCTCTCTTTCTCTCTTTTTCTCTTTTTTCTCACTCTCTCTCTCTCACTCTCTCTCTCTTTCTCTCTCTCTCTCTCTTTTTCTCTCGTTTATCGCATCCCGCGTTTGACGACGCACGTCCGTTCCCTCTTTCTTCGCGCCCGTCGTGCCCGTTGAAGCGACGTATCGTTTGTTCTGCAAATTTGTAAAAAAAAAAAAAAAGAAAAAAGAGACCGATTTGTCGAGCACGTTTTAAATCCCTCTGAGACTTCAAGACGAATTGTCGATGTCTCCACTTTGACTAATAAAATAAAAAAAAAAAAAAGATTTTGTCTAAGAAAAATCAAGATCTCGTACGAGATTTTTACTTCCCGCGAGGAACAGCGTAGGGATCGCTATGAAATTTTTTGCGCGATTTGCAGAATAGCGGTAGTCCATATAGCGCGGTGGTACATCCGTAGCGGAGTCAGGTTGCAAGACGAAAAAAAAAAAAAAAAAAGAAAGCGGAAGTGAAACTTGTCGTGATCGCTGTGAGTCGCGAGCAGACGAAACGATTCTACTCTTGTATCATAATACCTTACGATAGTGAAGCATTATAATAGTAACGACAGTAAAGAACCATAAGGAATAAATTAGTAATTTAAGAATAATAAATGCGAGAAAAGGGGGAGAAACGCGTGAGAGAAAGAGAGAGAGAGAGAGAGAGAGAGAGAGAGAAAGAGTGGCGGCAACGAACCGGCGGCGGTTCTCCGGCGGAGCTTCTCCACGATGCTGAAGAATCCCGAGGTCACGCAACCGCGCGAGTATATATATATATATACATATATATATATAGGCTTTATAGGGCACTTTTACGTGCGGGATACTCGTTTCGCGCGAATCCTTCGCCGGACCTGGATTTTTGCCAAAGGAAAGACGCGCGAGAGTCTCCTTGTCGTCTTCGGAGGAGAAAAAAGGTCCGTACGAGAAGAATACAAATCGGTGTTGTCCCGAATATCCCGGCATAAGCACACATCCATACACATACACATACACACACACACACACAAGCCTAGGGATTTTTACCAAAAAAAAATGGCTCCACGCCGCACACGCGCGGGCACGGAAGCGGTTTACACGCAATTAAACGTAATTCGAACGCTTCGTTTTAGCTAACGAAGACTTGGCGATTCTTGACAAAGAGCGTGAGTGCGAATGTGGAAAGTGCGCAGTGCTCGGGGAGTTTTCGCGAGAAGCGATTGCTGGCGGCGGACGATCACTCGAAACGCGCGACGGAGCGTTCCGCCGGTTCCGAGTGATCTCCTCTGATCAATTTTAGCGTCTTTTTATTTAATTCTTTTTTTTTTTTTTTTTTGTTTTTCGTTTGTTGATCCGTACCGTGTGTTATTTATCGACGAGAAAAACGTTTCCGAACGCAGCATAGTGTCGGTTCCGTCTCTCGCGAAGGATGATTGTTTTATCGCGTTGTCATTTTTATCTGTTTTTTTTTTTTTTTTTTTTTTTTTTCAATTATCGCGCCTTCAAGGCGCGAAAATTTATTGTTAAGGTGAATTTTAACGGAGGACAAACTGCGTTTCTTCTTTTTTATGCGCGCACGAATAATTATCTCGCGCCGACAACACAGCTCGAGACGATAATTATTCGCGCTTTGCGTCGTCGGCTGCATGACTAATTTTATATTCTTCGTTTCTTAGAAAATATTAATTACCATACATTTGCACGTAATTTTTCTCCGACACAGTTTGTCCGTCGGCTATTTCTTTTCAATGTCGTTTAGAGAAACATTCGGCCAGTGATCGATTACTGACGCGTGTGTTGCGTGGGATGTAATCTGAGAGAGAATAAGTTGTATCATATATATCGAAAGTGAGAGAGAGAGAGAGAGAGAGAGAGAGAGAGAGAAAGAGAGAAAGAGAGAGAGGTCCTCTACATGTAAGAATAATAATGTATATATAATTATTATACACGGTAAACACACTTGAATTAATTGCACTCTTGAAAAGAAGAGCTCCTTTCCCCCGAGAGATCCAATGAAAATTTTAAGACGCAGCACCGAGAACCGGACAAGAAAAAGATGAAAGGAAAGAGCGATGATCCGAAATTTAAGAACGGACATACATATTAAAAAAAAAAAAAAACAAAAAAAACAAAAAAGGAGAAAAAATTGTTCTCGCAATTCATTTCGGAAAAAAAACACTGCGTTTCTTATCCGGATCTATTTTTTTGTTTTTTCGTTGTTAGTTTGTACGCACTACGATTATCGCAATTTATTGTATTATCGACGAGATACTGTAACAAAAAAAAAAATACTGTTAACTATTCTTAAAAAAATTAAAACTTTTGTAAACTGAGACCAAGTGGCGTCGGCAAAGAATTCATTTACTTGCTGCTTTTTTTCCATTTCAGATGTCTGGACGATTCTCACAGCTTCTTATATCATCAGATCCACTTTGCGTGCGCAAATTTATAATTAAATATTTGACAATATTTTCATCCGACTCGGATGAGCTATCTGATAAAATTATGAGAAAGTGTGGAAGAATGGATATTTAAACATCGATCGAGCAACAAGAAAATTCAACACGTCGATAAAATAAATGTTTTTATTCACAGACGTCATTCGATCAAACATTATTGTGTGCACATAAAAGTGTTTTCCTGAGAGAGTCGATATGCTAAATTAAATTGCACTATAAATCATTTTACAAGTAAATCTGTTTTGTAGATAGTATAAAATTTGGCCAAAATTATGTATTCGTCGAGATATAAATTCAATTAACATTCATATATAAAAGATCGATTTTAAATAAAAATTTCGTTTTCTTTAAAAATCTTTTTCTACGACGCGTTGCCATTTTAGAACGTGTACTTGGGAAATATTAAAGACGATACTATACCGTATCGTCATATAACATATGAGATCATTGATGGCTCGATCGCGCGGTTCTGTCACCAGGGAACGACTCGAAGTTTGGAAAGTCGTGGTCAAAGCTCTTCCAGGTTTTTGTTTCTTGTTGTTGTAGTTGTTGCAGATTTTTCAATCCCAAGATCTGGAATGGAGATTCCTAGATGAGACAGACAAAACAGACAATAAACAATTTTTAATTGTCATTCTCGGACAATGATGAAATTATAGCAAAGTGTAAAATATATTTTTGTTAGATTTATAATTTAACTTTTATTATATGAAAGAAAAATAAAGATTAAGAGTATCAGAGAAATTATGCTAGTTTAGTACCGAATCATGAAATTTTAACAAATTATGGAAAAATATCCTTTTCTTTTATCGTTATACGCATAACACCTTTTTCAACATGTAACTTTGAAGATCGTAGCCCATGTAAAAAGCAATTCGCTGAAGGCCTAGAACAGATCGAATCCTCAAACGAGGTTCCGGTTGTAAGAGACGTTCCAGAAGATCCCTCGCCGCCACTGAGAGGTTAGCACTCGCCGGCAGGTTTCCTGGTGAATCAGCGATATTTAAATCGTCCTCGTCGGGCACGACCTCGGACGACACCGTAGACGGATACTATGTAACGAAACAATCGAGAACTCGATAAACACAAGACAAAAAGGTAAACTTCGAAAAAGACAATCGCGAGGAAAAATACAAATAAAATTAAATAACTCAAAAAAATTCTTCTGAGAAGAGAAAACTTTGTAAAATTCGCAAGGGGGGAGGGGGCCTGAGGAATTTCAATCGTATATTTTCGCGTTCGGGATCGAAGACCTCGCGGAAGAAGTTTTCGCCATTTCAAACCGACGGGAGACGCGGGGGAAACCATAAATATTTCCTTTTACGAGAGACGGACCGGTAAACTAGAGAAGCTATTACCAATGTGTGATATTCCGGTCTGTCTAGGCGCGCTCTCTCGTACACGCTCCCGCCGCGGCCAACTACACACAGGTACGTACCGAGGAGGCAGGGTCAACGGCCACTCGCGACCCTCAACCTATTCGCTCGCTCATGTCCCTCCACCGTATGGTACGACCTCACACGACCTCACACACGCGCAAGAGAAGCCTCGCGCGCCAGCTTATATCGTCCTCCCGGCGAGAACGAGCCGCGCGCGAGGATTTCTTCGCGTTGTGCAGCTTTGTGTGTTGGGACTCTCCGCTATTGGGACTCCGCGTTCGTTTCTCGCGCGTGTTGAACGCGCAAAACGGGATCTTATTGCGTTCGCGTTGCGAACTCTTTGTTGCCGCTGCCGGCCGATTGTTGTACGCGACGGCGCGATATAACCGCGCGCGCTAAGCGAACAGCAATATGTTGCACGTGCTTGGCAGAGAAACTCCTTCGCGCTTGCTCCTTCGGAACACACGGAGCGCGGACACAAACACGTGTTGTCCACGTGTTGTGTATCGGAATGCGTCTTGTTTGCAATCTCGCGCGATCCTCACGGACGAGGCGAGGAGACGACGCGACAGCTGTCCTTTTAGAACTCGCTTATGTGAGATTTGTTGTTCGTGTAACACACAACGTGTAATATTACGCGAGAGGCCAAAGATATATGGCCTCTTAAATCGCGTCGCGAGTTCGGAATTCGAAGTCAATGACTCGGACGTTCGAACTTCGGAATTAAATAAATATAAAGCGATGTAAAAAAAAAAAAAAAAAAAAAAAAAAAATACAAGGAGTTGCGAAACTAAATATATATATATATATAACGACAAAAATAAAATTCCGCAAATATATCCGCAAAGTCTTCTTCTCAAGGAAGAAATTTGTGACTCGCGGGATCCCGCTACTAAAAACTTCATTAATTTCTATGTAAATTCGTTCCTCCGCCTCGCGTCTTCGGCAAAAATATGCGCATACTAATGACTGATTAGCCCCGATATTACCGCAACTAATCGTGTGAATTTTTATGTTGTTGTTTACAAGCGCGAGAGAGAGAGAGAAAGAGAGAAAAAGACGAGGACGATCGGTCGGGTCGTTGGACCACGCGAGAATCTGATCAGGATCCGGACGCACGGTGAAACGTAATATCAATTCCGATATATCTCGCCAAAAAAAAAACCTTGACCAAGAGTAACGGTACAGATCTCGTCGTTACGAGATCGCAGATGGATTTTTAGCGCCGTCCATCTCTAACTCTATCTCTCTTCTGCATAGACGAATCGAATTGTCCGCCTGATCGGCGCCGACGTTCGGACACGACGGACGATCGATAGAGTTGAAAGAGCAGACGACGACGAATATAAAATATATTAGCGATTTAATTTTTTATATCCTATTTGAATTTGAAGTTTTATATCTGTTTTATATCCACTAGAATTGTCTGTTTTCATACGTATAATATAACACGTATATGTGTCACATTTTTCAAGATATTTACTACGCTGTAATAAATTTGTTCCAATGTGCGCGTAGACGCGCAGATGAGAGCGTTAACGAGTTCTTGGCACATATATCCTTTAAAATTAAAATATGCGATTTACACCGGATCAAGTTACAATGAGCGCGCGCGACGGTGTTACCGACGTAATTTCGTAAAATTGTACTTCCTGCCACGTGCTCCTGACGACACATCCTACGTACGAGACACGACGCTTGATATTCTCGAAATAGACACCGCGGATGGGATAACTACTACTCATCTCTTTATATGTTATATATACGTCGCAAAAAATAAAAAATAAAAAAGATTTAAAAAACACACCACATACTTAGTGAAAAGGGAAATATAACAAAACTAATTAATTTTTTGTCTCTTTTATCAAAATATACATTAAATAAATGATTTTATACGCAAGATTCGTTCGCTAATTGTGTGCGTAATTAATTTTTAAGGTCAACAGACTCGCACGATGGCGTGTGATGTTTTTCTTCTCGTTTCTTCTCGTTTGTTTTATTCTTTTTTTAACGAAAAAACAACCAAACGGAAAAATACATATATATATATAGACGCGGATACGTACACACATCGTGTTAAATGCAAATAACACGTTCACCCGCAAATCTCTGTTGGCGCACGGCTAATTGTTGAGCAAACTCGAACTTCCGGCTCGATCCAATCGCCGTCGCGAGTACGTTCGTTAACGATGTATACATACCTTTCGCGAATACATACATTTTTTAAAGCCGTGCGCTCTTTTGTCTGGAAAATAATGGCTATCGACAAATTTTTGAACAACTTTATGTTATTCGAAGTGATTGAATTTTTTTTTAATTTTTTTTAACAAAAAAGAGAAAAAGACCATGTTTTAGAACGTATATAATAATCTAACGACCGATGAAAATGCGTCGAATAGAAGAGAAACGCTCGAATACGCCGCGAAGCTTTTCGTGAGAATCTTTTCGCGTCCCACGGAAAAAAAAGTGTTGCGATTATTACAGTAATTAAGGCCGTAAACAGGCCGAGAAAATGAGGCGCAGATTTTCAAATCGCGGTGATTCCGTTAAGCAAGCGTGTGTGTTAATAGGATTGTTTTCTTGCTGTATACATATACGTGTGGGAAAAAAAATTAATTTATCGCGCGTAGCGATAAAGAATTCGAAGATCTTGAAAAATTAACGTTCAAACAATATCGTAACGGAATATAAAAATTAAAAAAAATAAGCTCAGAATATATTTAAAAACCGAGGAAATAGTTTTTTTTTTTTTTTTGCCAATTACGATCGGAAACGTCCTCTTCTTGTTTTAATTAGCAAGAAACGAGAATAACCAATGAGGTTTTGTCTGCGACTGCGGTCTGCGACTCCGTCCGCGTGCGTTCACACGCACATGCACACGCACAAACCGACGCGTCGAGAAGGAGATGCGCCGAGCGGATGTCACGAAACGAAAAGGAAGCTTCAAGGTGGACTTATGTCGTATGTATAATTGCGCTACAGAGTCCCGTATATATATATATATATATATATATATATATATATATATGTGTGTGTATGTATGTGTGTGTATATATATATATATATATATATATATATATATATATATATATACGCGGAGAGAAAAAGAAGAGAGAATAATTGAGAGGACTTGTTGTTTTGTTGAGAGTTTATTCATTCAGTTGAGTTCCGCGCGACCAAAGAATCCGCGAAAGGGGGGGATGCGGGGAGAGGAGGAGAGTAAAACAGCGAGAGCGCCGATTTACACTCGAGAATCGGTAAAACAAAGAAAAAAAAAAAAACGAACGCCGCGAAGGACGGACGGAACAAAGGATCTCTCTTCGCTGTCACGCGCCCGTCACATCTACCCTACGGATTATTCGGGAGAAGCCTAAGATAAACAATATAAAATAAAAAGACGAGACCGTTGAGGGGAGGGTTGAGAAGAGGCTTAGAAGAGCAAGAGCGTTCAGAAAACTGTAAGAAATGCAAGCCGACAGCTTTGCGTTGTCGTGAGTTTGTTCGAGCGAACAAAGAAGCGTCTAATCGGATCGAGAGATTGCGCCAAGAGACGGACGGGGGGGGCTCCACGAAACACCTCATCCTCGCGCGTAGACGATCACAGGTAGAACGATCGGTGTGTATTTGCCGGGACTTGTTTTCTTGTCGAAGTGCATCGACCAGGCCGGCCGACCGGCCGGTTTCTATTCCCGGCGCGACAATGACGATGGTCTCCGTCTTCGCGCAAGAAGGTAAAATCTCGCGCAAATAGCAATAACCGCGGTGGTGATTATAATACCGAATTCGTCGGCTCTTGAGAAAAGAGAAACGGAGACGTGTGAGAATATCCGCGCGCGCGCGCGCGCGGTGCTCGAGAGATTCCACAAATATTTTGTGTAACTTCGCGGCTCTTGCCGCGCGACGCAATACACAATCGGGATTTGCGCGCGCTTCGACCGAAACAAAAAAGAAATGAATATGTATGTAACGAATTTATTCACAAACACACATGAAATATGCATACGCGCGAACTTTTGTTGCTGCAACAAAAACCTATGTATTTAAAAAACCAAAAAAAAAAAAAACATCGAGGAAAAATCTCGGAAACGAGAAAGAGAGAGAGAGAGAAAGAGAGATAAGCGCGTACACGTATCAGAAACTACCTGTTCAAACACCTGCACACGCGCGGCTATAAATAAACTTCATACTCTCGCACCGTCAAGTCATCAGGATCAAGTCATCTTCCTCTAACAGTACACGCAATTAGAACTGCTCAATTACACACTGTAGTGTTCATCTCGCCGCCGATCGACGCCGGGGCTCCACGGGAGGAAAATAAATGTGCGAGGGGGAAGGGGGGTGTACACGCGTGAAATCGGAAGAGGAGGGTCCGGGAGGGGGGGAGGAAAAACGACGGAAAAACGAGAATCGCATGCGGGAGAGAGAGAGAGAGAGATGGGAGGAAGGAAAAAGCGGAATAACAACCGCGGCACGAAAAAAAAAAAGAGACCCGTGGAAAGAGGAAGAAAGACCGGTCGGTCTCGTAGTTAACACACAGCAGGCATTAACTTCCCATTAACCACAGAGAGGACCCCCCGAGGGGGCTCACTACGCGCTGGCGCCAGGAATAATCGTCGAGGCATATTAGGTGCCTCATGCAAAAACCACGTGCATGCTATGGCTATTTATAAAAC